GACTGTGGCATTTAACCTTTATATAGACAGAGAAAAGCAAGCCAACAGTATCTTCATTTTTCTTGAAGATATGGACATTAATTGTCAAGCCCCAAATGATTTTCATTTTCTTCCATGAGTAAAGTCCATTACTCAACTCTGCAATCTGGCTGTCTTGCATGTTTGCCCACAGGATCAACCACAAATGAATAGGAAACCTATAGAATTCAAACTGTATTTATTTCTGGCTCCAAATACTTTAATTTTTCTTCAACATATGATATTTCTTTTAAATCCAATGAATTTACGATATTGTTAGAAGAAAGTTGTGGAAGGAAATTTCAAATACAAATCCGTGAAATGGTGTGATGGATGCAAGTCCTTTGCCATACGATGACTGCTCAGATGGTTTCCCACTTGGAGGCATCAAGGTCGCTGCAGGGGAAACTACATATATAGTTTCATCTTTCACATTTCTTTTTCTTTAGGGACCGCGCATTGATGAATCTGTCTCAATTATTTCACTCTTTTGCTTTGTCCTCTTCTGTTCATTCACATAATTAAAGTGATGGGCCATTTAAACCAATTCCCTATCCTCTCTTTGGCCATTGCTATGCCTTTTCATGGCATGCTCTAATATGTTTCCTTCTCAACAAAAACCCAAGGCACAAAGGTTAAAGACAACTAGAAATAAAATAAAACCAAAAATTAATGATAAATATTACATTTAAATTTTAATATCTGTAATTTTTTTCATCATCGTAGTGTGATTTTTAGTTAATAATATGTAATCCGTAATTTTTCAAAATCTATTTCATCATACTTGAAATAACCCTAGTAATATTATTGTTGTTTTGAGTTAAATTTTTCACAAACTTCATTTATATAAAACTCCATTTGAATTAATATTGTTGGGGTTTAGTTTTCCTTCATAATAAAAACTAGCGATTCAGCCGTGGTTTGAGTCTGGTCGAGTATTGGTTTCAAGTCAAAGATTCACAGCCAGCCTTTGAAAATGGAATCTTTGCCAATGTTTGCATCGAAAAGGTTTCTTCTGCGTGTCAAAAGGTTGATCGAGGCAACAAGATTGAGCCAAATCTCTATCAATTAGGGAAATTATAGTTTTTTTTTTATAGAATTAGGGAAATTATTTAAGTTAAAAGAGTAATTTCCTCATAATTAATATGATCGAAATAACTAAAAAATTATCTTGAAATAAATCTGATAATTTATATATTTATGTTATATAAAATATTAATAATTCATGTATTTATATCATATTAATATCACCATTCGTGTCGATAAAAAATATAAAAATATATTTTTAATTTTATTAAATTTATTTATAATTTTTATTAAAATTTTAACTCATTTTCGTTTTTTTTATTTGTATAATTTTTATATCTTATTATTTTAAATTTTCATATTTATTTTAAAACCTAGGGTTTAAAGTTATCACTTCACTACACATCCTTTTTTTAAATACCTAAATAGCCATATGCACAAAATTGTATTAGCATTTTTCTCTCAACAGGAATGTGGCTGAGTTCAAAATTAAAGCATGCATCTTTTAGGCTAATTGGCTCTTTAATCTTTATCAAGAAACACAACGATAATGCGTGCCTGATTTTTTTTCATATGCTCACCAACTGATTCGCCAGGCTATCTGTTCAAAATTATTGCAATATCTGGTTCCTTTTTTCAAATACTATATTTTTGTTGGCTATAGGCTATAGCTATATTATCCAGTAGCTTGATTTGATTATTAGAGAAATATAATTCTTCTTCCATGCAGTTCCAAAAAACCTTCTTCTTCATGACAGTGGCATACTTTTTGTTTTTCGAGAATAATTCTTGGGTTGGGCCATTAATTACATAGACGATTAACATTATTTGGATATATAGTAAGATTGATTTTGATAAAATTAAAAATAATAATAATTATTATTATAATTATAATTAAAAAATTAATAAACAATTTATATTAAATGATGTCATTGAAATTAATATTTAAATTTAACTGATGATACAATAAAGTAATAAAAAAATCGATTCATGGATTTAATCGGTAAGTCGTTCAATCAATAACAGATAAGGGGGCTTTGTTCTTAATCCCAAATTCAAAGTGGTGAAATTAATAATTGCTAGGTTATGACGAAAACATGACAGAGAAAAAGACGGTATTTTTCTTTTCCCCCGACAACATCGAAACTAGAATACATGATCATTGAGAAGCAAGTTTTTCCTGATCATCTCTCCCAAATTCTTTCAGATGATATAATATACTACTCCTTAGCTTATATTTAAAAGAATTTATATCCATTTGTGATTTTTATGATAGTATTTTCAAGTCGAGTGCCATAATTTCTATGATTGGCATCACCACGATTACCACACTAACAATTCAAAATGCGTTCAATGAATTGGTTTTTAAGTAAATGCAGAAATTTAAAGGAGCAATGGCAAGTAAGGTCGAAAAAAACTGAAAACCATTTTGAAACCATAATTTTTTATTCGATTTTTTTTTTTGTTTAATTTAATTCAAATTAAATTTGAATATTAAATATATATATATATATATTATAAGTTCGAATCAAATTTCAAACCAAGATATGAAAAATCCAAAAAAATAATTGAATCGAAACGAATTATATATATTTTTTAATTTATATATATTTTAAATTTTTATAAATAAAAATAATAATTTTATATCAAAATTTATTTAAATATCTTAAAATAATATATAAAAAATAATAAATAAAATTTATAAATTGAACCAAACCGATAAAATTCAATTCAATTCAAATCTCGAATAAAAATTCGATTCGAAATCAAAATAAAATTTAAAATTTCATAAATTATATAAAATCTTAAAAAACTTAATCAAATCCGATTCAATCCATTATCACGTCTAATGGTAACCAAGAAGCACCCAAATTTTATCTATTACTAGTATTAGCTGTTGTTTGGGTGCTTGGCTCTTTAGACCTTAGCCTCTGCAAATTTGATCCATTGCTGCAGCATCCAGTGGTAATACTTTCAAAAGTCAAATTCTAGAGAAAAACAGATAAATGTCGATAGGATGTTACAACAGAAAGTCCAGAAAACTAGAGCAGCTGCATATGATATGTTTTTGGTAGCTGCTATGTCATCAGATCAGATCCCCACCTCATTTTTGGTACTTTTCCCGTAGCGAATTTGGCAATTATTTTCCTCACACAAAATGCCAAGATATAAAATAAAATAACGAAATGTGATTACGCAATGGCCTCATACTAAAGCGGAAAAGGAACCTGAAATTTGGATACCCTTTACATCCCAATCCGATTCTCTCCTTGTAGACCCACTGCACCATGAAAGGACGAAAAATCGGTAACAAACAAGACAACTTTAACAATAATACATCATATAAAAGACAAGTGTCTTCCACTAGCCACTGGCATCACCGTGATTAAGTAACACAATAGGATAAAAGGAGGGATGTGGCTACTATATGATTCCCATATTTACCATACGAATCAATCTGTTTTCCCAACCACTAAATGCAAATTACAAGGCATCAATTTGAGGTGCGCACATGTTCTGATTATCTTATGCAAAGATCACAGAAAAAAAATGAAATAACAGTATCTATTTGAATTGCCACCATAAAAGTTGTCAAATACTGGCAAGGAATCATAAACAAAAGATAGTGCATTGGGTAATTTCCTGACGACATGGCAACTTAAGACAAAGCAACTAATTTGGATAATGATATTATTTGGAACAAAAGAAACTAAATAGTTCTAAAACCCATAAAAAAAAAAAACTATGCAAGTTTAGCAAAATAATCAGTTATTCTAATCTAATTTGCCAAGGGAAAGGCACCAAGGAACAGTATAATGCAAATGGATAGGAAGAATGGCTTTCAGAGCTACTATAACACAATCTACAAGTAACAAGACAGTAATAGCAACTTTCAAGGAAATCAAATGGATTGTTATACTCCAAAAATGTTGTTAATAAAAGAAATCATCCCAAGCAAATGAATCTGCTCCAAACATTTAATAAAAATGAAACTCAGGAAATTAAAAGCCCCGTTAGTCCACCTCAAACTCAAAACCCAAGGACAAGGCATCCTCGTTCAGCTTCCTATAAATCTTTTCAAATTAGCTTCCTATAGACAAAGAGGACCTTTACTCTATTACTCTATTAATTTTTTTTTAAGTCTTAATTCCTAATCCATCATCCAATATTTCATTGCCTTCCTGAGTTTAACTATTTACAAAACATTCAGTTACATCAAATTAGCCATGTCCAAAACCTCTCACTCCATTGCTATCACTCAGATTAATAATCTCCCTAAGCATGTCTTGAGCATACAAACACTTACAGTATTTTTAGACGGTGTTTGGTTGTTGCTTAAACTCAATTTCAGGCACAATTTTTTTTTAAATAAAAATTGGTATTTAACCCAGATATAATAATTCAGATCTGGAAAAAACCCACATAACAAACAATACCCAGTCCCCAAAATTGGCCTTTTTATAATAGAATAATCGTGACAAGGGTAAAGAGTAAAATAAAGTCGAAGGCTTAAAATTACCTGAAAAGAACGAGAGGAGGTATCTAGAGCTCGAGCTTGAGCTCTTCCTTTTCACCAGAGAGGTAATGAAGAATGTAAGGAGTGACACGAATCACAGCTATCCACACCCCAAACATAGCCACGTGTTCCTTCAACTGCTTCAAGGCCACCGCCTTGTCTGGTTTCCGCATAAACATTCCCTGGAACATCGCTGCTTCTAATTTGATTTTCTGTGCTTTCGATTTGAATCTGGGTCGACGGCAAGAAGCTAAAACCCTAGCTACGCTTGGGATTCTGGTATTTTTATGGCTAGATTTTGTAATCAAGGGAAAGAGATGTGGCACGTGCCTCTTGCCCTTGACCAACACGAGCGTGGTCAATGAGTTTCCTCCTTTTTTTTTTTTTTTGTTATTGGATTAAAATTAAATACAATACATATACACATGAATATGTATTATATACATATAATTAATTTTTTCATGCATTAACTTTTTAACCTAAAAAAAGTCATATTATTCTTTTATTTTTTAAAAATACCATCACATAATTATGTGTGTGTATATATATATATATATATTATGTGAATTTATTTACACAAAACCTTAAAAAAAAAAAAATCAAACATAAAACGTTGAACTTTTATTATGATTCATTGCTTTGTACTCATCTGACTTTTACCAATGGTTAAATGAAAATTTCTAGGTAGAAGGTACATAAGTAGATAATACATAAATAAAGGGAAAAAATGTGTTACTATGTTTGTATATTTGAAAGCCATAATTAATGTTTCTAATTCTCCATTGAAGAAGAAAAGGTGAGAACCATATTGAATAGACAAAATGAAATGAGGCCTTCATGTTTCATCAGGGTGCATAAATAAGCTGAAGTTACTCTCTGCCCGGCACTGCCATTTGTTTTCCCTTTCCTTTCGTTCTCATTAATGAATAAAACCAGATGCTGTGCGATTCATGCTCACATAGCAAGCACATAAGAATCGAGAGATTGATTTTGGATCAAATGCCCATGTTCGCATCCCAACATGAACCTCAAAACACTAAATCCAACCCCAAAGCCGCTCCATAACCAAACCAACTTCAGTTAACATTGTTAGTTCGGAACCCATTCAAATGTAAGAACCCTTCCTTTATCCAAGAATCGCATCAGCATTTATGAGCCTTTTTTCTTATGCAGGCTTAAGACTCAGAGTGAGAAAATAAAGAGAAAGCTCAAAAATCGTGTCCATCTCTCGTCAATTTTCTCATTTAATGCCCTCTCCCTACCCCCCATTAATGCCTCCCTTTTTTCGACTCTCACTTGCCAGAGCCCGAAGCTCTCCTCTCTCTCATACGTTAACTCTTACTTGCATGCTTGTTTTCCATTAATTTCACCGGACCCTCCCTTCCCCTTCGATCTCTCTATGCAACGTTTCACATGTCCCACTGTTTTTTTTTTTTTTTTGAAGAAATAATTTTTTTTTATCTTCTGTTAAACCTATCCGGTGACAGTAATGCATCGGGATCCCCGCACCTGAGCCGACTTGACGAGAAAGCCGTAACACTTGAAGCCGATGATCTTAAAAACATGGGACTCGCCAGTGACTTATTCCTCCTAGACGAGCCGCCGCCGCCACTTCCAGAAAACCTAACACTGGATTCTGACAATGGGAAAAACCCTCTCCGTCGAAAAAATGGCGAAGCTTTCATCCCTCTGTAATACCTAAAAGAGAAAACCCTCGGTGTCGTCATTAAAGACCCAAACGGCGACGCCCTTTTGCTCCAAAACACATTCCCTCCAATCCTGTACCTCCAAGGCGACGCCGTGTGGGGCTCCGTTACCATCCTTTCCGCTGCTAAACTCCTCTCGAAACCAAATGAATAAGACCTTTTCAAAACAAAATTGAACCTTTCCTCACAATTACTATTCCCATTCTCTCGTCTCGGTGACGGCTCTTCGGTTATTTCAGTTATGGTGTTATTTGGAAGAGAATGTAGAGGAGTTTCTGTTAAGGAATCCAAGGTGTTGTTGATTAAAAGAGTGTCGTCGAGGCTGGGACGGATTCTGGCTGCCATTAACGGAGTAAAAGGAGATTCTGTAGCAAAAATTCCAGCTCTACAAAGAGGGCAATTAGCATGTGATTTCAACCAAACGTCGATGCAATCCACGTGGAAGGCGTGGGAGCAAATGGGGAGTGTTCGGATGTATTCATTGTCTTCGAACTCTAACAAACAAACGGCACAGTCTTTGGGGCTGTTATTGGGTTTGGGTTTTGAAGTGTAGAGGGAAAGAGGCAGGGTTTTGATGGAAGAGTCATCGAGGCCAAAAGGAGAAAGATAGAGTTCGAAGGGATCAGAAGGTGGAAGAGAATCGAGGTCAGTCGTGGTGGATGGGAGGTAGCGACGGCGGCGACGACGACGTCGGAAGAAGCGGAGGATTGGAGGGATGAGTCGCTTGGAGATGAGCCGTGAATATGTAACGATTAAAAATGCTGCAGCGACTGCTACCACCATGGCGATCAACGGTGGGCTGAAGTCAACTGGAAGCTTCAAAGGCGGCGGTGATGATGATGATGATGATGAAGTAGATGACGGTGACGACGGCGGCTGTGATGATGATGAAGAGGGAGAGAGGATCGGGCATGGAGATGGGGCCGAGGTGATGAACCCCATGATCGGCAATGGAGGTGTTTCGTAAAGTGGTGGTGGGGTGGGTTGTTTTCTAGAGTTGGCGTTAAGTTCTGGGGGTGTTCTGGAAGGTTGACTCTTGTCTGGTCTCACCCAACGAGTTGTCAAGGGGGGATGGTTGGTAAACGACACGTCGACATTGCTGAATTTAAGGCCATGAAGAGGTTTTATTCTATGCCGGTGAACATATCGTGCAATCGGATTTTCATGCTTTCTCTTGTTGACACGTAAGGAACTACTTTAAACATGGTCCGCTAGTGATTAAGTTAATGGTTCTTATTATCTCGTGGCTTGTGATTATTGGGTGATTGGAGATTAAGGGTCTGTTTTGTAGGGTAAGGTGTTTGACTCCACAAATCAGAAAAAATGACGGTAAAAGAGATTTAATGTGGTGACCCACATGGTGAGGATCCCACTAGAAGGGGAGGACAGGCTAAAAACGTGTGATCCCTTTCATACAATTACATAGCGGCAATTTTTAGTTAGACTTTTAGGTTGGCTTTTTCGGTCAGACTATAATTAATAAATTTATTAATCACACAGTCAGACATTCATTTGGAATTGCCCAAGGAGGCTTATTTAAAAGCATTACGAACAAGGTTGGATTTAGTCAAAATTAGTTTAAATAAATCTGATTAATGATAATATATAAAATTTATATAATAATAATAATATATTAAATATAAATCACTATTTGAAGAATTATGTATAGTATTTGAGTATTAAGTTCGATGATAATAATTATTGATTTCAAATCTATTTTTCTTGGAAATAATAAAAAAAATGTATGAATATTTATAAGCTATTGCTTGTTATTTTTTATTAATTACAAAATACATGTCTAGAAGGCAAACTAATGTTTCCAATGAAGTGTTTTTTTTTTTTTTTTGGGATTCAAATATTGTTGAAGACATTGTTTAATATGCCAAACTAAAGTTTTTGATTTTGATATTAAAAAGAGTTATGTTAAGGATGTTTGCTAATTTGATGTTCTTAATATTGTTTCATACAGTGCAAAAGCTGAATGAATTTTGAATGTGATTGTTTTCGCTTCATATAATAAAAAAAATTTTATAATTCAAGAATTTAACAAAGGACTTGAGCTGGGCGGTTTGGACATAAAAAAGGAGGCTTGGTCCAGTCCCATGGCTTATGGAGGTAGCCCAGTCAATTGCCTAGTCACGTTTTTTTTTTTATTGGTCTTGTTTATTGTAAGAACTCAATAAAAATTGAGACAATTTTTTTAAAATTTTAATTTACTTTTAAATTTTTATCTTATTATTTATTTAATTAAAATTATTACTTCTTTTGACTCATATTATTTAACATGTGTTAATTTTCGTAAATTTAGAAAAAAAGTTTGAACTTTAATATATTTAATGTTAAAATTTAAAAAAAATTTATAAAATAAAAATTTTATTATTTTTAATGTCAAAAAAATTTTAAATATACTTTTAAAATACAAAAAAAATAAAAATTTTAAATGTTTTAAAAAAATATGACATAATTTTAAAATATACAAAAATATATATGTATAAACTTTATCTGATCCATAATTTTTAAACACCAATCCTAATAACATAACAATTAATTCAAAAATAAGTGAATCAATTGAGGCAAAATTTAATGTCACTAAAGTTGTTCAATCATTTGGACAAAAAGAGTTGTTTAATCATTAGAGCCAAAGGCTGCTAGTTAATTACCATTAGTACTACAAATTCAACATCACTCGCTGCCATTGATTGTAAATATCATAATTTTTTATGCACGAAATTAAGATTTTTTAAAATATAAAAACCTTAACAATGTGGATAAAAGTTGGTATTTATAAATACCGATTAAAAATAATTAAATAATTTTTTTAAAAATTACATTTAACGCATAAAAATATATTAATTATATATTTTTATTAAATGTCACCTTAATTAATATTATTTCATGATTAAAACAAAAAATTTGAAACTTAAGTATTAATCAAAAACATTAATCGCCTTTTTATTTAGTAAACAACATTCATCGTGTTTATATATATTTGATAATTTATGTTATTGTATCATGTAAAATATTATATTTATATTATATTTTATATGAAAATTATAATTTATATTAATATAAAAATATAAAATATAATTATTTAATTTTATTAAAATTTTAAATCTTGTTATCTTTATATTTTTTATTATATCATTGTATTTAATTTCAAATTACCAGATTTACCCCTACCTATTCTCATGACTTGATACCTTTTGCCTATGGTTGGCCAAATCGTTGACGACTGACGACTGCGTGCAAGATTCGTTTCCAACTATTATTTCCTTGTTCTTACTTATTTTATTATTATTTTTTTTTGTTTATGATTTTTTTTGTCAAAATCTACAATTAAAAGTTTTAGCAGTTCATTTCCTCGACATATTGAAGTGGTCCAACATGTCGTTTAATTAGGAAAAACTAAAGTCCCACAGAAACTATAAAGCATCAAAAGAAATACTACTACTAATGATATGTTTAAGCATTACATACTTGCTTTAAATATTATACTTAATAATTATAAAAATCAAAATAAATCAATAAATTTTATACATTGAATTAAAAAATATCATACTATTAATTGAGTGAATCAAATGATATCATCTTATTAATAAATAAAATTTTAAAAAAATTAAATTTTTGTTTACTTATTTTAAGTTTGACATTTATTCATTAATAAAATAATATTATATAATTCATTAAAAAATTATAATTTTTATTCATTAATAATACATCAAATATATACTCATATATATCTCTTTCTTTTGATTATAGCCAGGCAGCCATGAACATGCAAAAAAAGACTGACATTCAGTAGCGCACACCAACCATCATAAATAAGAGGGAAAAAGTTTTGGAATTCCAAAATCCATCCTCGTTGCATGTCATTGGCATCAAGTTTTTTCAAAACATCACCACAAAAATATTCTCAATATGTCTCTTCCAATAAGCTCATCTTGAATTTATTGCAGCCGCTCAACCAACCAGTCTACCTCACCCTCTCTCTTTCCCTTTTTGTGATTAAATTCTCATAAATTCTGTTCTTGGTTCAACCACTTTTTGCAAAACTTAATTTTAAAACACATAGAGATCTTGCAATATTGTTTTCATTAAGCTGAAAATGTCGGACAAACATACTGTAAAGGTTGAAGAATCAAGGCCGGCAACTGAGACAAAGTCGTCCGCCGGGCCGGTTTACAGGTGCATTTATGCTAAAGATGGTCTCTTGGATTGCCAGAAGGAAGCCATTCTCCATGGGAGTTCTTTAGGTGAGTGCTAACCTATAGAATTTGCTCATTTCTGCAAAAAAGATCGATTTTTCATACCATTTTCATTAAAAAAAAAAAACCTTTACAATGGATTAGAAAGAGAGTTTGCTTTTGACTTGATTTTGCAAAGGTTTGTTGTACAAAGATACTATTCGACTCTGACCAACTGAATTAATAAATCAGAAATGTTATGAAACGAAAGGATAAAATTTGAATTGTAATATGTTGTTGTATTTCTTGCAGTGATTCTGTTAAAAGGAACCCAAATAGCCGAATGCTGGGTCGAAGACAAACCACAGAGTCTAAGGTAAACTGCAATCTCCCCATCCCGTTTATTGCTAGAGAATGATATAAGCAACATGCTTCAACAGTAACTTAGCGCTCAAAGTTGGTACTGTTTCGTTCTAGTTCCTTGGCCAGTCTCAGGATTACTTAAAGTTCCATTTGTAAGCTAATGAAACTTATTGAACATTCATCTATTAGATAACGATATGTTATAACACTCAACAAAACTGAAAACCAAGTTTTACTTATCAGATTAAAGTTTTTCTTGATAAAATAGTTCAGTTTCCTTGGTATATGCTATCATGCATGGTTTCATTTGGTTTTGCAGCAAGCTGGTCCTTATGTATGGATCACATATCAGGAGGCTTATGATGCCGCTCTTAGAATTGGTTCTGCCATGAGGAGCCGCGGTGTCAATCCTGTAAGCCTATAGCTAATCAGTTAAAACAGAATCATTCCTATATAACTTCATTTAGTAATCTGAAGATTGACAAAACACTTCCGGTCATGGTTTTAGGGGGACCGATGTGGTATATATGGATCCAATTGTCCAGAATGGATCATTTCTATGGAGGTATGCCTGGTATCTATTTTGAACCAATTAAGTGACTTATGACCAAGGCTATAACAAATTGTTGAATTGATTGTTCCTGCTTCTTCTAATTGTATTGCCACTATCACAACTTTACAAACTTAGGTAATTTGTTTGTTTTCCCCTCTTTACAGGCTTGTAACAGTCAAGCTGTAACATATGTACCTCTATATGATACTCTTGGTATGACATTTTCTATTTTTTCAGTACATTCTTCATTCTTCAATTCATTTGAGGTGATAAATTTATCTGCTTTTACTTTGTTGCAGGTGCTAATGCAGTGGAGTTCATCATTAACCATGCCGAAGTTTCAATAGCCTTTGTTCAAGAGAATAAGCTCCCTTCCGTAAGTTGTCATTGCAACTGAACCTGGTTATTCTTAGTATATGTTTTATGAATTTTGAGCAGCATTTCATTTTAGTTTGTTCACAATATATTTGTAATTATGCGCAGATTCTATCATGCCTTCCAGCATGTTCTTCTTACTTAAAAAGTAAGTGGAAAATCAATTAGATGTTTTGACATTTAAGATCATTTAATTATTTCTAGAGCAGTAGGTTAACAATTAAAGTATTTATCTTCCTTTTCCAGCTATTGTCAGCTTTGCATGTGTTTCTAGCACACAGAAAAAGGAAGCTGAAGAACTTGGGGTATCTCTCTTTTCTTGGAAGGAGTTCTCTGAGTTGGTAAGACTTTGATCAAAACGATGTTTCACTGGTCAATTCAGTTAGATTTTACACAAAAATTTACCTGATTTCTAATGTTCTGCAGGGTTCATTGGATTGTGAGCTTCCTCCAAAACAGAAGACTGGTATCTGCACTATTATGTATACTAGTGGAACAACAGGAGAACCAAAAGGAGTCATTCTCACAAACAGGGCAATCATGACAGAAGTGTTGTCTATAGATCAACTATTAGACATTACAGACAGAGCGGTGAGAAAGCAAACATAAACCTTGTTAGGGAAAAACATGCATGGTAAAAAAAAAATGGAAGAATTAATGTCAAAAACAAAGAAACAAAATTTTTGTATGACATAGAAAGTTAAATTGAATGAAATGGCTCAACTCTTAAAATAGAAAAGATTGTTTGATTTTTTTTTCTTGTTAAGCTTGAAAAAATTTTCAGTTTTGGTGATATAATTTTGCATTACAGTGTTCCGAAGAAGATACATATTTCTCCTTCCTTCCTCTGGCTCATGTATATGATCAGATAATGGAGACTTATTTTATCAAAAGTGGTTCCTCAATAGGATTTTGGCAAGGGGTAAGATTAAAATTGCCATAATTTGTACAATTTTCCGTTGTCTTTTTCTCTTTTTAGTATAAAGGCATCTAGTCCAGCTCTCTTCCTTTACTTCCAGGATATCCGTTATTTGATGGAAGATATCCAGGAACTAAAGCCAACTGTATTTTGTGGGGTTCCAAGAGTATATGACCGCATATACACTGGTACATACGGATAATTATCTTTGCGACGAATATGTAATTTCATACTGTTGATACCAGTTGTTCTGAGCAATATCCATGAAATTTGTGCTTGAAGGTATTGTTAACAAAATTGCATCTGGTGGCGCACTTCGGAATAAATTGTTCCAGTTTGCTTATAACTAGTAAGTTTTATTGCAAAATCCCCTTTGTTGGATTTACTTGATTGTTAGTCTAGTCTGCTGTCCAACTAATGGAAAAGCTACAAACAGCAAATTAAGAAATATGGAGATTGGATTCCGACAAGACAAAGCAGCCCCTCTCTTGGACAAATTGGTCTTCGACAAGGTTTTTCATCCACACATCTTTTCTCTATTCGGATTAAGATTCGTGCTTTACTTGCTAGAAGTAAGTTAATTCTTGTAGGTAAGACAAGCATTGGGAGGCAAAGTTCGTATAATGTTTTCTGGTGCAGCACCTTTGCTTAGGCATGTGGAGGAATTTTTGCGGGTCTCCAGCTGCTCTAATTTATCACAAGGATATGGTCAGAGGAGTTCTTTTCTTTTATTTTTGTCCTACTTCAAATAATTCATATCATTTCAGAATTCATCAAATATGGCAGAAACCACTTAGGAATTTTTAAGTGAAATCAAACATCAACCAGTTATCATTCACTAACTGTTAGTGGCCAATATGTTTTGGCTATACAAATTCCTCTGATTTTTCTGATGTTTTAACATGATAGGTTTGACTGAGAGCTGTGGTGGGTGTTTTAGTTCCCTCGCCAACGTAATGTCTATGATTGGAACTGTTGGCGTTCCCATAACAACCATTGAAGCAAGGCTTGAGTCAGTGCCAGAGATGGGATATGATGCACTTTCCAGTGTGCCTCGTGGAGAAATATGCCTGAGAGGAAACACCTTGTTCTCAGGTTACTACAAGAGACAAGATCTAACCAATGAAGTTCTTGTTGATGGGTGGTTTCATACAGGTACAAACCTTCCAATTTGCATCAAAATTATAATATGCAGAGAAAAAAAATTTTCTTGATTACCTGTATTTTTTTTCCTCTTTCTGACTAGCTTAAGAATCATCAGATGAAGTGGAGAAAATCAGAACATTTAGTCTTACTGATATAAACATGTTGAGATTGTGATAGGTGACATTGGCGAATTGCAATCGGATGGAACAATGAAAATCATTGACAGGAAAAAGAATATTTTCAAGCTTTCTCAAGGTGAATATGTTGCTGTGGAGAATGTTGAGAATACATACTCACGTTGCCCCCTTATAGCGTCGGTATGTTGCTTTATACTGCACAAGTGAAATTGCTACTGAACAGAAACAGAACATCTCATTATGTGTTTCCATTAATAGGATTTATCTCTATGCTATAACATTTAAGCATAACACATTCGAATATTGCCCTAAATGTGGGTTTCTTAAACTTTCCAATGGTCAGATCTGGGCTTATGGGAACAGTTTTGAGTCATTTCTTGTGGCTGTGGTAGTCCCTGAAAGAAAGGCACTGGAGGATTGGGCGATAGAACATAATGAAGCTATTGATTTCAAATCATTGTGTGAAAACCCGAAGGCAAGGAAATACATTTTAGACGAGCTAAATCGCACTGGTCAGAAACATCAAGTATGTAGAAAAATGTCACATTTTTTTCTTCCTAGCTCTGCAATTAAAATAATATGAATTTCTTTTCTCAACCGATACAAAATCTATACTTACACAGCTTAGAGGCTTTGAGATGTTAAAAGCAGTGTTCTTGGAGCCGAATCCCTTTGACATTGAGAGGGATCTGGTAACCCCAACATTTAAACTGAAGAGGCCGCAACTGCTCAAATACTACAAGGTATTCTTTTCTATCCCTTTTTTCCTGTCAAAAACAAATAATTCCTTGGGACCTTATTAAAGAACAAAACACAGTTGATGGTAAAATGTGAAAGTTATATTATTCACATGGAATTGATTTTTATCATATACCAACATCATCTGCAGGATCGAATTGATCAACTGTACAGTGAAGCAAAGGGGCCAAAGGTATAAGAGCAGTTCCGAGAGCAAGAACCTGATACTCAGCTGTGCCATCGATTACCAGTAGTTGCTGAAACTTGTTTCTGTTTATCTGAAAATCTTAATGAAAGAAGAATTCTTAATGTACTTAAAGTGATGTTGAAAATTGATCTCTGCTATATATATATATATATATATATATCACCGGAAGCTTTCTTTTTATTACTTGCCTGTGTCTATTTACAAGAATAAAATTTGTTGATGAAGTTGGGATGTGCAAGTGTCACGGGTCGAGACTCAAGCTCCGAACCCGCGCGGCTCCGGGACCCAGGCATTCACCCTTCCGACGTCCCAGATCAGCCTTCCTGCCACGGTTCACACCCTTGTGAGGTATTGTCCGCTCTGGCCCCCCCTGGCCTCACGGTTTTGTCCTACAAAAGGCGCCTCACAAGGCGGAGATGGTGTGAACCCTTTTATACCCCAGGGACCTTCCTATTATGTTCGATGTGGGATTCAGGACTCCCCCTTAGGTCCGTGACATTCTCCCGCACTCAACCTCGTGACGCCCTCGTCACGGAGGCCGGCCACCTTGCCTACCTCCCTCGAGGCGCTCGGCGTGGATCGAACGGTTTAGGGTTGGCTCTGATACCACTTGTCATGGGTCGAGACTCAAGCTCCGAACCCGCGCGGCTCCGGGACCCAGGCATTCACCCTTCCGACGTCGCAGATCAGCCTTCCTGCCACGGTTCACACCCTTGTGAGGTATTGTCCGCTCTGGCCCCCCTGGCCTCACGGTTTTGTCCTACAAAAGGCGCCTCACAAGGCGGAGATGGTGTGAACCCTTTTATACCCCAGGGACCTTCCTATTATGTTCGATGTGGGATTCAGGACTCCCCCTTAGATCCGTGACACAAGCTTCTTATTTCTATCTGTCATGCATTTATGCAGTGCTTTTAAGTCTGATTTGCATAAACATAAATAATTGTCATCATATGTATATAAAGCAGCAATGCCAAGACATATTACCACACCAATCCAGCTGTTTCTTATAAAGCTTGAAAAAAGACCAGGAGTCACTACCATCAGATGAATCAAAGCAGAGGGTGTTTCTAGCCAATCTGCAATGGAAGTAATAATTGATCAATACAAATGAAAACATTATATGAAACGATTAAAAAAGATGAGAACACGAAATTTTCATTTGACAAACTTCGAATTCAAAGCCTAAGGACACTTGCTTAAGTTAACATACAAGAAAATATCCTCAGTCATCACATTAATAAATGGACTGAGATTAATGGGATTAATAGCTGCAATTACTATATATATAAAAAAAAAAAGAAACAGACTAAACCATTAGAATTCTTGAATTCTTTTAGCTGAAGAACAATTCATTTTATAATTCTGTACCCAAAATTAATAATTTATATGTAAATATTTTAAAAATATAGAACATTTTGAAAGAAAACAAGACGATAGGAAGTAGACCTCATATCCAACATCTTCAGCCACATTCTAAACCACGTCTTCAACACTTAACCATGTCATTACACAAGACAGCAGTTTGAGCAGGAGCTGTCAGCTTCAGCCATCAATCTATAGCAAACAATCCAGACTATAAAAGAAAATTGTTATTCCCCTAATACAACAAACCAACACGGACCATCGGATATAACAAAGTTTAAAATAAGATGGAACAGGACAATTTGGTCCAAGAAAGCTTCATTTTCTGTGTTGGTTTCTCTTGCCAGGAGTGTCATGAAGAAGAGCTTGCATTAATAAGGGAAATAACAGAGAGCAGTGTAGAGAACAGGTTCATCACAGATCGTAAGCAAGGATTTTTGAAAGCTTTAGATGGTAGAAGTATCATTATCAAAAAGGACTTCGATGTTGAGTTGTTTACCATAAATCTTAGAGCATGTATATATTAATCTTGTAGGATATCAAGGACAGTATAGTTTGACCTTATTGGTACTTAAAATGGTAAAACAAGCAAGCATATATATAGATATATATATATATATATATAGATATATATATATATATATATTTAACACACAATGTAGATGCACAGATATAAATAGCTTTCATAGGGTTTCTATTGAGGAGAAAACTATTAAATGAATAATTTACAAAAGCATCCAACAACAAAACCATACGGCTTCACAAACAATCATCAAAGCAAACGAGTAACAACAATCTTTGAACAACAATATAGTCTTTAAAACATCAAACAAGTGCAGCCAAAGTTGTTGGACTATAAAAGATTAAACAGAGTAAATGAAACAGAGCATACCTTTCAGTCCCTGAAATATGCATAGTAAAATATTTCACAATAAGAGGACCAATTACAATAACATCCTCGAAATCGCAGCAGAGAAACAAAAACTGGATTTTATAAAAAGAAGAAAAGAAAAGAACGGAATAGTGAGAGGAAAAAGGAAATCTAATCTAAGCGGGAACAGTAACCCTCGCTTTCTTTTAAAGGCCAAAAAATATGGCCGTCGAAGACTGCGCGCCCTTGACCACCGGCGCAAAAATAGGCTTCTTTTTTACCGCCTTTGACCATTAAATGGCCCTTGCTGCAAGAACTAGGCCCATATGCATCATTTCCATGTTGTTTGGGCCACAATATCTAAGCATCATGCATGGCATGTTGCCCCTGCTGAACATGAGTTTCTCAAGCTTCTCTGTCTTGGATTATTCATAGTTTCCCATAACTTTTACTACATTTTTCTACAACAATAATAAAATATTACTATAAGTCCTTCAAATGAGGAATTCTTACAAATGCACAAAGCAAAGAGCAAAGCAAAACCATGTCTTATGGCACAATAATGACAATGAATTTGTATGTCTCAACAAATTAATGGTTACAGGAAAACACAATCCACGAACTGCTGATCTTGAACCTACAGGATGTCTATTGCCAAAGCCCAAGCAGGGTAGACTAGCAGAAGAATTATGCCAATTGTGTTGGATATCCCATGCGCTTTTGTGAAAGAATTCCGAAACCCACCTGATGCCCTGATGTGTTCCTGAAGTAGGTAACAAGCAATGGCAAGGCATATTACCTCACCAACCCAGCTGCTTCTTATAGTGCTTGAGAATAAGCTAGGAGCCACCACTATTATAAGAATCAAAGCAGCGGGCAGTTCCAGCCAATCTGCAGTTTCAGTATTAAGTAATAACTGGTTATCCACAAATTTCGAATATCATCATAGTTGTCCAACAGAAGTACTCAGACATTCAATCAAATTGAACATGGGGAAGCAAATAGTTTGGCGAGCAAATGACAAGGTGACCAACCATTTTATCGGATAATCGTTCAAATATGGTAAGGCAAAAGAAAGATCCTAGTGAGTTGATACATGATAGTATCAAGCTCAAGCATGACCAAGTAATAGAGGGATTAGATCAATATTATACCTGGGAAACGTCTAGGGAAGAACAAGCGCAAAACAACTGCAACAAAAGCAATCCATTTTCCGACCTCTCCACTGCACGACCAAACAATTTATTAAAATGGAAAAGAAGAAGGAATAACTGAGCTAAACGAATAAGTGTAGCTCACAGCATGGACTTACCTGAAGATGCTGAACAATATGGAAGGAAGACTCAAGAAGATATATGGGATTAATAGTGCTGTAAGAATATTTGTTTTCCAATTTGTTCGGTCCAAGATCAATAAATAACTGCATTAATTAAGCACAAGCAATATTGACAGAGTAAACCATTAGAATACTTGAACTGGTTGAGAGGATAATGATTTGAGACCGCTACTATATTGGTATGCAGCCATTCCTCAATGAAGTGTAAAGGTGGTGTTAGGAAACAAGGAACTTTTTAGGCAAAAGAAAGAACTCGCGAGAAACAGTCAAACAGAATCTGAAAATAGATAGATAAATCAGAAAAAAAATAGCAAAAAATTACCGAGCGGGAATCTTAAAAAGCTTATACACGTAAACGTTTCAAAATGAAAACTAAAAAGCCTTAAGGTTTCAATGCAGTTCAACAATTATAGTCTCGAGCTGTCACATCTGGAAAATCCCTTCACTCATAACAAAATTCAACATTCGGTCGACTGATTGGTTTGAATCACCATGAGACTAACAGCAGAAAATAAAAACAAAGAAGAAAAAAAAACCTACTAGATATCTAGGATTAATTAATTAAGAGCAGTGAAAATTGAAAATGAACATACGAAGATTGAAGAAAGAAAGAGATAAAGAGTGTGGCATACATTGCAGCAAAGGAAGCGATCCATTCAAGAAATGAAGTCCCAAGTCCCAAAGAACCCAACTTGATGGCATGATTAGCAAGCTTTTTAGCAGCAAAGACTAGCTCTTTGAAATCAGAACTGATCAGATCACTTGCTTCTTGCTCAGTCTTCATTGCCAAATAAGTCTTCTTTCCCATCATTATTAACCCTCTTCTCTTCAGCCTCTTGCTCACCAAATAGTTAGTAGAGACACTGGAAACGATGAAAAGGATAAGGAGAAAGAAAAACAAAGAAGCGAAGCTTCCAAGTTATAATGCTAAGGAGACAACTAAGGAGTGGACAACACAAACAAACCAACCAGTTGACCGTCTGGTTTTAGACTTTTAGAGTTTGGAGTAGAGAAGCCTAGAAAGTAGTAACCAATGGCCAGCCTCCGAGTGTTAGCTCAATTTGGCAGGTTTTCAAATTAGGTGCCACGTGGAAGAAGATGTTGAGCTAAGAAACTGTTTGACAGTTGTACTTTGATGTGTCCCGTTCCATATCTTTTGTGGGAAAATTAATGAGTATTATTTTGGTGTAGAAAACGACAGACGCCAATTATGTTTTGTTTAAAGTTTAAACCATAACATAATTTTGCCACGTCTTGAAGATTTTATTTGAGGGGCCCATATACACGTCGGCAACTCAACTTGCATTATAATTCTCCTATTCTCATCTCATTATACGTGAGATTTTGGAAACGAAAAATCTATAATTTATTTATGACTATTGCAGCTACACGCTGTTAATACAGTTTTTTAATGGATTGAACAACAGAATATTAAAATAACTAAATTTTTAACCCGTGTCATGCACGGAATTTTTTTTATTATTTTTAGTAATTAAAAAAATTATTAACCTTAATTTTTTATATTACTTTAATAAATAAATATGCAAATACGTATTGATTTATTATGTATAATCATACATTCATAAATATTAAAATATAACTAAATAAGAGTTTATATATATTGTAATATTTTTTCAAAGTCAACGTTTTTGTAAAATTTCAAAGAATTATAAAAAAATTTTCTTTTTCATACAATTTATTTTTTCAATTTATTTATTAAATAATTAAAATTTTGCTACTCATTTTTTTATTTGATCAAAAAAGCAAAGTTCAATTTTAAATAATCAAAATTTTTATTATTGGTTTATATGTTTTTTTGTAGTGTTAAAAATGTTGTTATTTATGTTTTTTTATTCTTCACGTGATGTTGGTACAATTTCTTTAGAGTTTATATTCTTTTTGTGCTTTTTTTGTACTCTTAATTGTGATTTAACATTTATAACCATCTCATTACTTTTAATAAAATTTTACTTCGACATATTAAAAGAAAAATAGTCAAGATTAATAATTGTTTTATATGTTGATATGTATATATAAAAAAACATATCATTTGATTAAATTGTAAAAAACATTTATATTAACAAAATATTCTTAAATTATTAAATCTTATAAAGCTAAACCAAAAATAAAATATCAAATAATAATAATAATATGATTGAACTATAAAATAATAATTATTAATTTGTTCATAACCATTTGATTTTTATTAGTTCTTATTTTTTTACATATATACTTTAACATACAAAGTTGTTTTTTTATTAGAACATAAACCAAATATACAATTTGAAAATTATAAATAATTTAGATTTTTTGCACTTATGCATAACAAATATCTAGTTTAACTATATATATATATATATATACATATGAACCAATTTATTTTAGAATAAATCAAATCTAGATGCATATACTATATAATGCAAATAAAACCAAATAATAAGTTTAAAGAAACAAACAAATAGAGGAAAATAATAAAAATAAATAAATATAATATAAAAAAAGTAATGAACTCTACCTATTACTTAGTTAGAATCCAACCAAACATGCGCTCATTTTATTTTCATTATTGATATCTAAAAAAAAATCAATATTATAAAATAAAAATCCAACCCCATCACAAACTTATTTTTAAAACTAAAAAATAAAAATAAAAGAATAATAAAAATCATCAAATAAATTTACTTATTCATGAGTATGATGTGGTTATTATTTTTTATAGCTTTTGTCTATTTCTATCAAAATTCATAAATCATAATCATCAAATAAAAAAAGATTGTATTTTTTAATTTTTAATTATAATAATAATAAATAAAATAACATTAGTTAGAAGGTGATGCACTCACTTTATAAGTTCTTTATTTTTATTTTGAAAATTTGATTTCAACAAATAAAAATTTATTAAGCTCTCTCTCTCTCTCTCTCTCTCTCTCTCTCTCTCTCTCACACACACACACACACACACACACATATGTAGAGTTATGATTAAATTTAAAAAGAAAAAAATAAATTATGATTTAATATATTTAAATTCAAATTTTATGTAAATTTTATAATTTTTTTATAAAGTTTGATTTGATTTTAAATAGTTACCCAAAATATTAAATTTATATAATTTATTAAATAAAATTATTTGACAATTGAAAAAAGTTTATTATACCTATATGTATTTCAAATTATGATTAAATTAAAAAATAGAATTTATAATTTAATATATTTAAATTTAAAATTTATGTAAAATTCTTAATATCTTATATATTTTGATTTAACAATATACAAATTGAGAACGTATATATAATTTAAATATCTTATATTTATGCATAATAAATATCCAATTTAATTACACGTATGAACCAACTTTTTTAGAATAAATCAAATCTAAATGTATATATCATATAATGTAAATAAAACCAAATAAAAGGTTGGAAAAAACAAACAAATAAAGAAAAAATGACTCAAAAAAATAATAAGAAAAAAAAAAAACTATACCTATTACCTAGTTGAAACCAATTTAAATGTGTGCTCATTTTCCTTTCATTATTAAAATAAAAAAAAATATTATAAAAACAAAGAAGAAAACAATCCAACATTATCACAAACTTATTTTTAAAACTAAAAAAAAAATAATAAAAGAAATAAAAGAAAAATTAAGGTACAAAATGAATTTACTTGTTCATGAGTATAATATGATTATTATTCTTTTTAATTTTTACCCATTTTGTCAAAGCTCATAAACCATAATCATCAAATAAAAAATAGATTTTATTATTTAATTTCTAATTCTAACAAAAACGAATAATATCCCATTGGCCAAGGATGACGATCTCATTTTATAGACTCTTTATTTTTATTTTAAAATTTTAATTTCAACAAATAAAAATTTATTAAGCTTACACATACACATACAATATATATATATATATATATATATATATATATATATAAAGCTATGATTAAATTTAAAAAGAAAAGATAAATTATAATTTAATATATTTAAATTCTAAATTTATGTAAAATTTTCAAGTTTTGATAAAGTTTTATTTGAATTTAAATAGTTATCCAAAAATATTTAATTTATATAAGTTATTAAATAAAATTATTTGAAAGCAAATAAAAGTTTATTAAGCCTATATATATTTAAAATTATGATTAAATTAAAAAAGAAAGATAATTTATAATTTAATATATTTAAATTTAAAATTTATGTAAAATTTTTAATATTTTATAGTTTTTGATTTGAATTTAAATAATTATCTAAATATATTAAATTTACATAATTATCCAAACATATTAAATTTAAATAATTTATTAAATAGAATTACTTGATAAATAATATAATATAAATATTATCTTACGTGTCATAAAAAGAAACTATCCACATAGATGTTCATATCAATACATCTTATCCAATAACTTTGTGTCCTATAATATATATATATATATATATATATATATATTAGATTAACGAGAAAAAAAAAACTAACTGTTTTAACCCATTTCTGAACAAAAGTTTTAACATAATATAATTGCTCAAGCAATTTTTCTTGACTGCTTCCATCAGTGCCAATACATGCTACTTTTCTGCTAACAAAGCCAAACGTTTCAACGATAGTTACTATAGATAGTCAGATCTAAAGTCTAAAAGATAGACATATCTGGTGGTGGTCCATATACAGTTTGCCATGACAAAGGGATAACCCAACTTCCACTCTCAGTACCTGAAAACATTACAACACTTTTGAGTGCTTTAAATTTTTAATGCATTTGTTGACAGACCAAACAAAGGATAGCAATGAAAAAATATGGTTTTGGTTGAAAAGCTCTTTAGCACCCAGATAAATTAGTCTCTTACAATTAAACAAGTTTGGAGACTAGCGCATTTGAATCATAACAGGGAGTAATATTGTAGATGATAATGCGAAAGTCATGGTCAAACCCCCTCCCCCCCCCCCATAAGACCTTCACTTATGAAGCAAACATCACAGCAACAACAGAAAAATGAATTATTTTGAAAAAAAAAGATGATAAAAACAAAACAATTATATAGTCTTCCAGCATTATGATCATCTAAATGACTGAGGAAGCAGGGGTCTGTATCCATTAGCAGGTGCATATGATTGGAAAATACTTTAACAATTGCATAAAAATAATGTTGCATTGCTGAACTGTAAACCTTCAAGAGAACCATATTCTTACTATGTGCTGCATTTGAAGAAGTTCTTGATAACAAAAACACTAACAAGTGTGAAAAAAGCATACATTTGTAAGTGTCGAATTGTTTAGAAAATGGGCATGATCAAGGGTAGAAGGCACTATTCAACAATACAATTCTGGTCTAGTTCCCCTTTCCTATTGATCTTGGGATAGGTCATACGCATCAAAAGATGTCAAAGAGTAGCTGTTGCAGGCAATAATATTGATATCTCAAGTATAAATGAAACTTACCATGAAAAGCATGGGGATTTAGACCCAAAAGTTTGCATGCTGCCTCAGCCAAATGAAAAGCATCCTGTATATTATCCCCTTCTGAACAGTAGCATAATAAGCATGTAACCTTCAATCCTTTGGCCTATATAGAAAATTACAAAGTAGGCCACAGAAAAATACAGGGGTCATCATACACTGAAATTTTGGCATAGTACTTCATTATCAAATGGCTAATGTAAAGTTAAAAAAAAAGGAAAAAGAAAAACTGCTGCGAAAGGGAGACTCACCCAACATTCATTACTAAATGGTAATGCACTTAAACGAAGAAGAATACCTTCAAACAAGAAAAAAGTGCAGCAAAAGGCAAACTTGGGTAGTAATCTTCCTCTTCCAGCTCATCTTCAAAAGGTAAATTGCTTTCCAGCTTGGTATTTCCTTCGGCTAAGGTGCTAAGATACTTCCAACATCTCTGAGCAGGATTGTATTCTTGCAGCTTTTCCCATCCAAGTTGTTCACAGTGATCATCTCTTCCATCAGGATTGGTGCTGGATACGTAATATATCTGCATACCACTGAAACCAAAGCCAAATGATCAGTATTGATAAAATGCTGAATTGCTTGTAAACATCCATCTGCCAAGGTAATTTCCCAGAAAAGAAGTAAATCAATAATCTATATTTCCAAAGATTCACAAGTCAAAAGACTTGCTGTCCCCAATGCAGGGTTCCATTGAAACTGGAAATAATGATGTTGACTAAATAAAGAACTTAAAGGTAAATTAATACTAGTTGAAGAAAAATTACAGCTTGAAATACCTTGACATGTCAATTTTCTGCCACTTTCCAAAATCCAAGCTGGAAAGCAGAACAACATGCTTTTTTCCACTTGCAGCAGCAAAATTTGCCAAGTGTTTGGCAAATTCAACCATCATCCCCTTTATAAATGACCATTTAAAAGAACAAACAATTCTATTAATATTCAAATTTTGTTATAGCATTAAAAATAAAGAAAAATAAACTAATGATGGGGAAAACATGTGTGCAACCATATCCCTAATTGAAACGGGAAAACAAAAAAAATTCAAAACAAGATCACAAAATATTCAGTTAGTTCATTAATGAATTTCAAATGGCGCGGCAGATCCCTCAGTCAGGACAACCATGAAAAGCCCATCCTTGCACTCTATGTAGAAGTTAGTCAAATATGTACTAACTACACATTCAAAGTCCAAGGAAAAAAACATCGAGTTGTCATTCTTTGCTTCAAGAAGGCAATTACAAGTTATAAAATCCTTTAGCATAAAAAATATAACAGTAATCCCATGACTATCTAAATTCTGAAAAAAAATCTTATTTGGATTCCTTGTTTAACAGTCTTTAATTATTTAGTTATACACATCTGCTTCCTATAATGACCATATGACAAAAAAGAATTACAACCAGTCTACAAGTACCTTGCTAGAGCGAAAACTGGCAAGAAAGATGAACGATGGTAGAAGTTGCTAAACAAACCTTGACTTGAATAATGAAGTTATATTCTCTTTAAATCCCACTGTGCATATATCCAGTGACCAAAATGATCCAATACTTTCTAGAGATGGGAGAAAATGGAGGTTTGCAACAAATGGCTATTCTCCTTCTAGCTCAGTTTAAGCAGTAAAACTAGCTTGTGAAATCCTCAAAATCCTATATTGGTTAGTCAGAGAAGCTTTAATTCAAAAGCATCAAGATTATTATACCTAAACACGAAAAAATTCATTACACATTCTCCAAAAGAAAACGAGTAACTTCTCCAGACGATAGGGACAACTAAAACAAAGATTACCTATGGCCCTGATCGATTACAAGTACTCAAACATCATAAAGGTCATGCCAGCACTTCAATGCACGGGAAAATATAATCAAATCAGTAAAACTATAACTGAAGAAATACCTTGACCACCGGAGACCGCTGTTGGAGAAGAGTGAGTCGACTAGAAGACGATTGGTAAGCTGCAAAATTAAGAAGAACAAAAATTGAGTTCAAATACATTACTGTAAACCTAATAAAACAAAGAATTTGAAGACAATGTGAGTAGGAGAGAGCACCTTCGAGAGGGAGAGCAAGCTCGCCGCAAGGAATTGGTCCATAAGCATCATTTCCAACGCAGGGAAGCACAAAGGGATCGTCTAAGTATCCAATTCTCTCTGCTTTCATTGATGATACTAGCAAATCCACTGCTAGCTGCCCCACGTTCCCAATCGACAACGCAGGCTAAGACAAAAATTAATTTTCTATTAAAAACAAAATCAAGAATTATAGTATAAGTATATAACCCTAAGCGATGGCATTATAAAAGGGGGAAAAGGGAAAAAGGTGAGCGAACCAGAAGCAAAGTAGAGCATTCTTCGTGCGCTTGTTTGCCTCGTTCGATAACAAATTCCATTTCCACGAGAAAAAATTAGGGTCCTTCGTTTGAATTAAGAAGGTTAATTGAAGCAGCTCTCTTCTCACGCTTGAAGAATGGAGACTTGATTGATTGAAAGCTTTGATCTTCCTCGGCTACTTCGTGCAGTTCGTGTTACTTTTTTCGAACTTGAGGAACAAGATAGCTTTGTGGGTTAAGGGGCCATGGCAGCAGAGCCTTTTTTTGGGCAACTGATTTAGGATTTTGGTGAAGAAGGCCAACCCTAGGTTGCAAAATTGGGTTTTGTTGTGGATTAAAGGGGCCATCCGTCTATAGCTAGCCCAAATCAAAATACCACTATTGGACTTACCATAATTTCATTCATTATTTTTAAGATATTAGGTGAAGATATTATTTACTGAGCTCCTTTTTATACATGTATAATTTTTAATTTCGTAAACAGTACAGGAGAACCTCTGTTTCATTTTTTTTTATTTATTCTTTAAAAATATTTATTACTTTAAAAATAAAAATTTTAAACTCTATTATTAATGAAAGAACGTGATTTCTTTTAAAGACCCTCATTAACTAATAATTAGTTTCCAATAAAAATTAAAATTTAATAATTTAAATATCATAAAAAATAATATTAAAATATTATAATTTAAAATTTTAATAATAATTATATATAAATTTAATAAAATTTAAAAAATTATAATTTTATATTTATATGAATTACAATACATAATTTTATATAAAATATAATATTTTATATAGTGTAAAAAATTAATAAATAAAAAAATTACCGTGATTTGCGACAAAAATTAACATGTCAATTCACTTCATCATTTACCCAGTAAAAAAAAAGGACCTCAAACTCAATCAATGGGAGAAACACGCACTGATCTCTTTCAATGTTGTCACTGTCAAATGTCACTTAACACATACTGTTTTTTTATTTGAGTTTTGTTTTTTTTTTTTTTTATTTACTTAATATATGTCAAAATTCGAATCAAATCTTTATTTAAAAAAAAAAAAAAAGGAAAAAGGCGTACAATGACCCATTCCATGCTTCAATTTAAAAAATTTTATTTATTTATTTATTTTTCCAACATAAGCTTAGTCGTCAAAAGTTTGTGTTTTTACGATTTCTAATTTTAGACTCTAAAAAAGTTTTTTATTCATAGAATATTTCCTAATTAAACAAAATTGTTGTATCCATTTTTCCATTAATCTGAAAGACGAAATACATTTTAAAAAATCAATTTCGATATTTTTTTATCATAATTTTTTATTACAGGTTTGAGCCTTCTTTCGTCTAATTTTTAAATAATTTTTTTTAATTAAATATTCAAAAAATCATTTAACTTAAATCCTATAAACCCTCTAATTTCACAAATCTAACTAATGTATTAAACTAATACATAATCGAAATTAAACAAAGTTATTTAATTAATTAGTTTTAATTTTCTGTTTAGTATTAAACAAAATTATTACCATTTTGTTTGGCAATTTTAAGTGTGAATCACGTGAGAAATTAAGTTTCTTTTGTCAGCAAAGGCCATCTCAACAACCTCATCATTTACCAAGTCAAAGAAAGACCAAATTTTACGTGTAAAAACTGTAAAAAGAATTTGATATTTTATTTTCTTCTATTTTTTTTTAAATCTTCAAATTCCGTACCATCATCGTCAAATAAATTTTTTTTTAACCATACATTCAAATATAAAACAATTAATCGATTTTTAAATCAAAATAAAATATATCCATAATTTAAAATATCTTAAAATTCAAAATTTTCATATTAAGGAAATGATTTTTATCCATTAATTCAATCCCAAATTGATATTAAACAAAACAGAATTTAGAATTGGAGTCGTTTTTTTCTTTAAATTCAAACATATTGGTGAAAAGGTTGTTTTTACGATCATTATAAAAGGTTTCTCATTATTTCCTCAATTACTTGTTATCCAAACATAATGTTAGATAACGTATTCCAAAATTGCGTAGTTAGCCTCCAGTTTTGGTTTGGTCGTTTTCCACTTGACCCCCTTTTTATTGACCGAAACATGCAGTGAACAGTGATACAGTTCATTTTTTTGAACACCCTTTTGAACGACCGACCATTTTACGTAAGAAGGAGCCCTTCAATTTCCATCTTCTTTCCTTACCATCCGTGTTTCCTAGCAGCTTCTTCTTCAGCGTGTTGACGTGGAAAAACAATGAAAATATTTATGACGAATGGGTCTACTCAGTCATCTCTCCAGTCTCTATCGTTTACTGGTAAGAGAAGAAGACTCAGCATTTTCGTTCTTCTTTATTGTTGGCAACCATTTTCATTCTCATTTTGCTTGGAAATTTCCCAGCTTCACTGCTCTGTTCCGATCCCTGGTAGATTTCCAATCTTTCTCTTTCAGACCTCACAGAAAAAAAGATGGTCTTTTTGAGCATGGTTTAGGTGATGAAAGGAAAAAAAACTAGCTTTATTTGATTGTTTGAAGGGGTTATTAAAGAATTGTTCTTCTTGGTGGTTGATGGGTTTTGACGTTTGATTCTTTTGTTTGTTGGTGGTTATACTTCATGGATTTTCTATGTTGGCTGTTTTGCTCCGTGGGATTTTGAGGTTTTTTGGTTTGTTTCATGGGTTGTTGAGATAGTTATGTTTCTCGGGTTTATGGAATTGATATTTGTGGCTTAATTTTTGGAATTGAGATTTGAAAGAAGCGATGGCTGGCCTCCTAAGAAAAATTCTTCCTGTTGAGAAATCAGCTCCTAAAAATGATGATGGCGATGATGATAATAACATTGAATACTCATTTGCTGTTGAGTACCATGGTCCTCCGGTCACTTTTGATATCCCCAAAATAGTTCCGGTGGACGTTGACCAACTCCCAACTGCTGCCACAGTTTCATCTTCCTTTGTTCTGAATGATTTTTCATTGCCCGTTATCCAACCGATTGTAAAGACAAAACTAGTGAACCAAAATTTGTCCAAAGATAACAAATTTGGTTCTGAACCTGGCTCAGATCGAAAATCCATTGATCGTCCTGGTTTGTTCAATGAATCATCAGTTCAAGTTGATAGCTTGGATTCATTAGGTGAGAGAATTGATGGTGGGTGCAGAACGAATTTATGTGATAGAATAGGAAGTTCTGGCGTTCTGGAAATTTCTGATGTTCATGGTAGTTTGGGTAAATCATCAGGAGGGCTGCCAGAGCTAGATGATCGTGAGGGAGGTTTAGGCTATATGGATCCTCCTGACTCAGATACAACAGAGTCAGTTTTAAGCTCACCTGCACTTTCATCATCCGAGGTCTTTTCTCAAAAAGGGGAAGATGGTAACAATGAGACTCCTTGCCATGTCAAAAGACCATCTGTTGTAACTTTCCGTGATCCCGAATCATGTGACATGCTTCAGGAAGAGTCCAGCTATTCCGAGATAGAAAGCATCCCTGCTGCACAACCGATTGCAAGGAACGGGAAAAAGGGTTCATGTTATAGGTGCTTAAAGGGAAACAGGTTTACAGAAAAGGAGATTTGCATTGTTTGTAATGCTAAGTATTGTTATAAGTGTGTACTGAGAGCAATGGGGTCGATGCCAGAGGGAAGAAAATGTGTTACTTGTATAGGTAAGAAGATAAATGAGTCAAGGAGGGGAAGTCTAGGAATATGTTCTCGGATGCTCAAGAAGCTGCTCACTGAGTTGGAAGTTCAACAGGCAATGAGATCTGAGAGGACGTGCGAGGCTAATCAGCTACCACCTGAGTTGGTTGTTGTGAATGGAGAGCCACTGAGTCAACATGAGTTGCATGTTTTGCAGACCTGCCAAAACCCTCCAAAAAAGCTTAAACCAGGATCCTATTGGTATGATAAATTATCTGGATTCTGGGGAAAGGTAATAACCAAACTTTGCTCTTGACTTTCCTTTTTTTTTTAAAAAAAAAATGGAAGTAATCTAGCTCCCATTATGTTCCATTAAAATTGAATTACTGCTCTGTCAAAAATCAGGAAGGACACGGGCCTTGCCAGATTATTACTGCCCAGCTAAATGTTGGAGGTCACATGAAGGCTAATGCTAGCAATGGAAAAGCAAAAATACTCATAAATAATCGAGAGATTACTAAAAAGGAGCTATGGATGCTGCAGGTTGTTCTGCTTTACGTGATTGAGTTCTTTTAAATTATGATTTTTAAGACATGTAAGTTCAATGCTATGCTGTTAAATATTTGCAGTTGGCAGGAGTTCATTGTGAAGGAAAACCTAGCTTTTGGCTAAGTGCGGATGGATCCTACCAGGAAGAGGGTCAGAAGAATGTAAAGGGGCCTATATGGGACAAGGTATATTTGCATAGGGATATGCATACTGCATACGCCTAATTTATTTCACCTTATATCATGTACTAGTAATAACATGGATGTACATTATTCTCAGATGGGAGTTAAGCTTTTTTGCACTCTTTTGTCTATGCCGCTTCCTCTTGATACTGTGAATCCTTCTGGAGAAGATGTCAACCCGAGAACCATAGAGCAGCAAGTGCTTCATAAAATTCTTCTAGTTGGCTATCAAAAGTCTGGCACAAGTACAATATATAAGCAGGTAACATACCAATAGAGGCAACTCATTTCAATACGCCATCCTGTTGTCCTTCATCAGCTTAGATGGAGATCTTGGATCTTGAGCTGACTTACCATTGGGCTTTCTCCACCAAAATTGCTGTCTCATTAGTTCAGCCATGAATAGATGCCTTTGACTACAATCTAAAATTTTTAAAGGATTGAGGAGGTTGAACAAGAGTGATAGAATTATTACAGTAACCTTTGAATTATTTCTATATCTTAAGCCATTACAAATTCATAATATTCATTTGGTGATCAAGATTGCAAATGAATCCTCATTAATGTTTATAGGCACACAGTTACCTTCAATTATAATTTAAAATATTATTGATATTTATGAATACTAAACTTTGGTTGCATGACACTAGAAATTCAGAATGGGCTGTCTAAATGAAACATTAAATTTGTTACTTGCTTATTTCAGGCCAAGATTGTGTATAAAATTCCTTTCTCTGAATTTGAGTGCCAAAATATCAAATTGATGATCCAAAGCAATTTGTATGGCTATCTAGCTATATTGCTTGAGGGGCGAGAACGGTTTGAAGAAGAAATATTACTACAGAACAGAAAAGGAAAAATTGTTGAGGGATCTGGTTCTTCAGGTACAATAATAGTGATTTGTTCTGTACGCACTTTCACCAGGTTTTTTTTTTTTTTTTTATTC